CTATTTGCTCCAGGCCATCCCTATTCCTAGCTTCTAGGTCAGTGGTTCTCAACCTTTTTAATGCTGCGACCCCCAACCGGTCGTAAGTCAAGGACTACTCAACCGGTTGTAAGTCGAGGACTACTCAACTGGTGGAGCACCGTTTGCAGAATGGGACTTTTGGAGGGCTCAGGAGGGCAGAGACAGCCTGGACAATTCCTATTGGCTTTTGAAAGCCAATAGAATTAGACTCTATTCAAGAGAGTCTATTCCATTGGCTTTCAAAAGCCAATAGAATAAAAGGGAGTAGCACAGCTAAGGAAAAGGGGGAAAAAAATGGCGGACTGCGTTGTTTGGCAACCCCCATGAAATGGTCGTTCGACCCCAAATGGGGTCCCGACCCACAGGTTGAGAACCACTGTTCTAGCTGAGCTTGCAAGATGCCTAAGTCTTTTGTTACTTTTATCAGCTTTTTGACCACACAGAATTGTTACAAGCTTTACACTTGCATATTCCCTGTGAATAAACATTCTTTGTACTTGCCAGACAAACTCCCCAATTACAGGCTTCCTCTCTCCTTTAAAGCGTATACCGTAATCTTGCTTTGTTTTGAAGACAGCCCATCAGATGAGAAGTGAAATGCTTTCAAGGAAAAAAACCCCAAGAAAGTCCAGTTGCCTTTTGGGAAAGCACCTTTGAGACAACCTGAATGATTGAGAATCTCCATAGAGTAGACCAGTGTTTCCCAAACTTGACAATTTTAAGGCATGAGCACTTCAACTCCCAGAATTCCACAGCCAGCGTTGCTGGCTGTGGAATTCTGGGAGTTGAAGTCCTCATGCCTTAAAATTGTCAAGTTTGGGAAACACTGGAGTAGACATTTAACCCGGGAGAAAAGCTGACGGGGACCAGACTTCTACCTCTTGCTTTCCTGACCTGATGGCTTGTGCCGCACGCTCATTTTTAGCTCAGTTTTAGTGTCCCTGTGTCCTAGGAATTAAATAAAATAAAATAATAATAAAAGTTGCATGTAATGGATTATTATATGGAATAACTGCATTAAATCATCTTAAGTGTTGGATTGAGAAAGGGAGGGTGTAAGAAGAGACTGGACTGCCATTTGTCTGGAAAGTATAGGATCTCCTGCCATAAGTAGCAGGTTGGACTAGAAGATCTCCAAGGTCCCTTCCAACCCTATTGTGTTCTAAGTTTAATAAATAATGAATAGAACACACACATATACATACACACACTTTTATCCTGCTTGAAGGCCATAAGAACTGTCTGAAACTGGAGAAATGTGGCCATCTTAATTTACCAAGGCTAAGGAGAGCTTGCATCGTCCCTTTAACCTTTGATTTATACACCTCTATCAGCAGTTACCAAGGCAGCACAATGGGATAGAAATTAAAATGCTCTCTACAATGTTCTCTCTGTAATCATGGGCACTTTTTTTCTTCTTCTCTTTCTCTCTTCACCTCAGCTACAAAATGTAATAAGTATTGTTTGTATAGCTTGTCTGTTAACCTTTTTCTTTTCTTTTTTTCAGCTAAGCAGTTGCTGGCTGTTCAAAACCGAGCAGTGTTTGGGAAGGCAAATAGCCTGGAGATAAACATTACTTACTGATAGATGGGCAGCAATAACTGTCCAGATCTATGAAGATCACAGTGGAATTAGAACTTCAATTGCTGCATGTTTACATTTATCCATCATTCTCCTGTATCCTCCAGTGGCTTGTGTAGATCAAAACATAGGAAGAATGGTTGGCTAAAATGCAGTGGTGGGATTCAACCAGTTCGCACCAGTGCGGCAGAACCAGTAGCTAATTTTTTGTTGCCCAGGCCCAGAATGGACTTTCGGAAGCGGCATCCACACAAAGAACCGGTTGTTCACATATTTGAATCCCACCACTGTTAAAATGTAGGCTAAAACATATGAAGAAAAGTTACAGGAATTGGATATGTCTAGTTTAATGAAGAGAAGGACTATGGGTGACATGATAGCAGTGTTCCAATATCTCAGGGGTTGCCACAAAGAAGAGGGAATAGAGCTATTCTGCAAAGCACCTGAAGGCAGGACAAGAAGCAATGGATGGAAACTAATCAAGGAGAAAAGCAACCTAGAAATAATGAGAAATTTTCTGACAGTTAGAACAATCAATCATTGGAATGGCTTGCCTTCAGAAGCTGTGGTGATGACCTTAAGATGGTTTTAAAATTGAACAAGCATCAACAACACTAACTTCATAGCCAAAAAAACAAAGAATCTGCAAGCTCTAGTAATAAAATTCAAGCAATACAGTGGCAAAATGGGTTTAATATTCAATACGAATGAGACTAAACTAATAACAAAACCGGTACAACAACCAGCCCTAAAACTGATAATGAAGATATTGAAGTGGTAAATAGCTTCTGCCGTTTAGGATCAACCATCAACAGTTACCAATAGTAATGTGTGGCTGTGAGAGTTGTACCATAAGGAAGGCTGAGTGCCAAAGACTTGATGCTTTCGAACTATGATGCTGGAGGAGATTCTTGAGTGTTTCTTGGACTGCGAGGAGATCAAATCAGTTTCTTCTAAAGGAGATCAATCCTGACTGTTCTTTGGAAGGACAGTAATGTTCTAGATCTTTTTTTTTTATCTTTTTTTTAATTATAGTTTTTGTTTACTTTCTACCTCAAAATGGGAAGAAATCCTTTTGTCTGCCAATTTTGGATTCTCATATCTCTACAACACAGAGAAATACATATGTAAAAGTCTCCAGAGGTTTAAAAATGGTTAGGGAGTAGCAGGTGTTCTGGGACACAGGTGTCCAACTCCTGTATGCAGTTATTTATGCTGTATTATGCAATGAAGATGAAAATCCTTTAGAATTTCACCTCTTAAATGTTAGCATTCCAATAGCCTTTGCATCAAAGTCCACAATAGTTAGTGCCTTGTCACTATTTATCAGTTTGGCTGCAGCTGATTTAATAGTTTCCCTTCCTGAAAATTTAAACTAGTTGCCTTAAGAGACACAAAACATTCCCTTGGCATTATATCTGTGTGTTTTTAAATACGTGTCCTTCCTTTGGAAACCTCTCACTTTTGGAAAGTAATCAGGGAAAAGAATAAGATAAGATATCCATCTACAAAAACCCAAAACATTTAAAGCAAATGACACAAAATAATTCATGCGAATCAAACCTCCAGTTATACTCTCACTTTATTGTAATCATATTTTTATCCCACCTTTATGTATATATATCTCAAAGCAGAAAACATAATGTCTTCATCCTGGTTCAGTCCAAGCCGGGGATGAACAACATGGCAACTGCTTTAGAAAGAAGGTTGCAGTTTATTGAAGAGCCAGACAGTAAGATGGTTCTGGCAGGAAAGAGGAGAGAAAAGGGCTGAGCACACGTGGGGAGTGAGTTTTTATACCCTCTGGAGTCTTTTGTTTGGAGATGCTTCCTGTTCCTGTGGCATGAACTTTGACCTGAGTCTAAGTGTACTTTTCTGGTGTTCTGATGATGATAGGTTAATCCTATTATATCCCAAAGGTCATGTCCTGCTTCCCTGGGGCTGGGGTTGATGACTCTTAGAGTTTGGATGGGGTATGTAGATTTTAGGTCTTTGTCTTCTTAATCTCCTAGCTCCCTGGATTTACATCTGCATCTCTATAGAGCTGGTTTCTGCTTGGGGAAGGGAGACCTGGGGCTATTAAGAAAACTGGGCTTTCCTGCCTCTTTAAGATCCTTGGAGGAAATATATTTTTCTGCCCTTTTAATATTTCCTTCTCTGGGGGGGGGGGCTGACTTCCCACAATACCAATACTCCTATTTTCCCACAACAAGGGAAAAGGTGCGCAGCAGTTAGAGTGCAGTACTGCAGGCCACTTTAGCTGACTGTGTTCAGCAGGTCAGCGGTTCAAATCTCACCGGCTCAAGGTTGACTCAGCCTTCCATCCTTCCGAGGTAGGTAAAATGAGGACCCAGATTGTTGGGGGCAATGTAAATATATATATACATTGCTTACTGGTGTACACCGCTTAGAGAGTGCTTGTACCTAAAGCGGTATATAAGTCTCATAAATAAATAAATAAATAAATAACCCTGTGAAGTGGGTTGACTGAGAAAGTGCTACTGGCTCAAAGTCACCGAAAATCACTATTAGACATGGCTACAACTTTTTTGTGGGTGCATCACTTGTAATGATCTTCAAAATACATCCAATTATGATTCTTATGCAATAGCAGAAAATGAATAAGCTCACTGCCCAAGTGAAGTATACAAGGAAACACAATCATGAAGTGGGTAGAGGAATTAAAAGGAAGTCTAAATCAAAAATTTCTGAGTTATGCTTAAAGGCACTTCGAGTTCTCAATAAATGCTAAGCGATAAAATGCTAAATCAAATAAAATCAAATGATGAAATAATTTAAAATGCATGTTCATATAACTTATTATGGCAAAGGCCAGCTTTTTCACAACAAATCATCCTAGGTTTGCAAGTTCAACTCACTACTCAGTCTACACTGTATTTTCTCTGCAAACCCTTCTTACCTACCCATCACCAGCCTTCCATATCTTTGCCACGCCTACTCTCCCTTCACTCATCTCGACTAAGCCCCTCCTCTTCTTCTTCTTTTCTCCAATCAACAATGTACACGGATAGGAGAACCTTACAAATAGTTAGCTGCCATCCCTACGCCCGATAGAAGCATTCGAATTAATCTTCCCACAATCAATACAGAAAAGTTTCTCACTCTCGTTCCTTTCCTATCAGACTTCTGTGACTTTTTTTTAAATCACACTTCACCGTACAGTTAGAGAGATTTCCCTCCTTACAAAAGGATAATAGCTCAGGCAAATAAGTAGGACACCCAAATGGAAAATTGAAAAGTCGTCCTTTGCTTTTCATTGCATTCTGGGACGGGTAGTTTCCCGAAACTTCAGACCTCATCTTCGAGTGGCGCGAGTGCGCAGAGGAGAAGACTACAACTCCCAGATGCCTAGGCCAATCTCTGGCTCGGTGGCCCTGGCGAGCAGCCCTGGGGAAATGGGAATGGGCTTTGAGAGGCGGAAGGCGGCAAGCGCAACCTCCGGGGCTCTGCCGCCCTCTTGACCGCGGCTGGCTGGCGCCGTCTTGGGCTGCTAGGGGACGAGTAGAAGTTCAGACGTAGTTTGCCTTCCCTTGTTGCAGGTAAAAGAAGAGGAAGGGGAAGAAAGATGAGCGGCGAAGGGAGCAGGTGGCTGTCTGGGCTGGAGATGAAGGGTCAGGGAGGGGGGTTGCTTTGAGCCGGAGTGGGGGATCTGCCTCCTTGTGTGGAAGCCTGGGCTGAGTTCTGCCTGGACTCTCCCTTATTTTACTGCCAACTCAGCCTGCCGTAGGTGGGAGTCTTTGGGACGGGATGGGCAGCTGTCCATGGGATCTTCTGGACAGTTTGGCTGGGGATGATGGGAGGCTAGTGGGTGTGAAGTCCTTGGTGCTCCCTGAGCTGGGTGGTGGCCTTGCAGACGTTGCATTGCCAACTAGGGTGTGCTTAATTCCGACTTCACACTCAAGTGGTACCAAGTAAAAGTTCAAAGACCAAAATAAAGCACAAGAGGCTGTCGTTTATAATAAAGGATGCGTGATCACTGTGCTTTTGAAGGGTGTGTAAATGTTTCATCTCCTTACTGATGACTGATCTCTTTGAATGCCAAACTTCCATGAATTCTCTGGCATTCTTGGATTTGGTTTGATGAAATGACCTGGCTGGGTAATGAAATGTCTCTAAGCCAATAGTCCAATTCAGATGCCACTAAGATCTCCACAATTCAACCCTGAACTATAAATATTCTCTTCTGTTGAAACTAGTGAGTCCAGACAGACCCCTTCTAAGAACCCATTGCAGCTCACTGAAGCAGGTGACCGAATTGTATTTGGTTTTGTACAAGGGACTGAATCAAACTTTTCTCAAACAGGTGGGGCACCTGTCCCCATCCCACAGAGCACGGTGAAGGAAGCAAGAATCCCATAGATATCCATTGGGAGTTTTAACACAGAAATTAGGGTAAGGATTCTCTTTTCCAAAATTTCAGGAATCTCCAGACTTTTCTTGTTAGTGTGCTCATTAAGTTTTGAATCTTTTCTTGAGTTTCTTGTATCCCAGATTAAGCTGCCATTTAGCTATTAAATTTTTGCCCACCAAATGGAGAGGTAATATGAGATTAGCTACTAATAAACTATTTTTTTTGTTGATTGTTCTTCCCATTTTTTTCTCAGTCTCCCTTGCAAACTTTCACAATGGTTTTCTGCAATATGCTATACCACAGAAAACCTCCTAAGATTAACCTTCGAGCTAAGGAGGTTAAATAAATTGTTGGTCTAACCACCAAATTAAATGCATTGTCTAAACCCAGCCATATTATTCAGTGTTGACAAACCTGCAAGATTTGACTGGGTACACAAAAGTGGAGTAAATTCTACTGTGGTTTGCTATGGCAAGTTGTGAACTCAGCCAGTTAGCATCTGTTCGGTAACAGATTAAACAAGTCTTAATGTGTGAACTTTCTCGCAATCTATACATGCACATCATTAGTATTTGTATCTGTTACATTGCGTAAATTGTGTAATCTGTAGGAAACCTGGTATGGTTGATTGTGAGATGCAATTCATTAAAAAGATTGGGTATGCATTAACTGGGCATTTTTGATACACAGTTGCATTTATTTTACAACCATTGGGATTAAATTCAGTCCATTGCTGAGGTCTTGGAAATCATGATTTGATTTCTGAACAGAATTATTTCTGCAGCTTTTTCAGTTTGCTTACTTTATGTTAGAAAAAGTTGCTAATTTCTGAGTCTGTGTGTATTCATAACTTTGTTTTAGCATATGTTGCAAAGGCAGTTGCCTTCTGGTTGAGCTCCTTCTGCCATGTGCATCTCTTATTAAATTGTTCCCATGCAACAAATTTGGGAAACAACTAAAGAGCAATTAAAATAATATGCCACTCTGGCCTCTCAGGGTATAAAGTGACTTCATATAGCCATTTAGAAAATTTTGTGTCAAAGCTGAATGTCTGATTTTATATTGGCAGCTGGTTACTTCCACACCATGGAATGTACTTCACTTCAGAAGAGCATTACAATTTGCCCCTGTTCTCCTTCCTCTTGCAATGAGTTAATACAGACATGTCAAACACAAGGCCCAGGGGCTGGATGCGGCCCACGAAGTGGTTTCATGTGGCCCGCAAAGCCATCCTGGAAACAGTGAGGGAACGGCCTCCTCTGCCTTGGCCATGACCCAGGCCAGCCAGGAGCCAATGTACAATTTTGTGGTGGCCATCTATGCTGAAACGCATTCAGTCTTAGCTCCATAAGCCTCCCCCCCTGCATGGCCTGAGAGGAACAGTGAGGTTCCTCCAGTGGACCATGCCTTGGCACTTGCCCTGGTCCCACCCCCTTCTGCCAGAGACCCTCAGATCTATCCCATTCCTGCCCAGGCCCCCACAGGCACCCTTGACGCGAACGATGTAGACCTGGCCACCCACCCAGTAGGCGACACCCACTCCATCCACGCCCACCCAGTAGGCCGCATCCATCTTGGCCACATCCACCTGGCCCCCTAAAGGCAACCGCAATGCTGATGTGGCCCTCATTGAAATTGAGTTTGACACCCCTGAGTTAATATATTCCTTTTTAGCCAGAGTACTAATAAAGCTTGTTATATGAGCATGAAGTATTACTTTTTTATTTGAAGTGGTATGTGGTAATGACCAAAAGAACTACTGTAAAATCTTTCTCTGGCCCCTTATAAATCGGTCTGGCCCCTGAATAATTCTGTATTTCGCATGGCCAGTGTTTTTTATTTTATTTATTTATTTTTCACATTTCTGAAATACACACACAACACATACACACACACACACACACATGCTTAAAAACTATTAAACTAGTGAAACGGCAAAGAGAGGGCTTTGAAAAGACTAACCAGCCCCATGATTGTGTGCTCCTCTGGGCTCCCCACGCACGGCCATAAAGCCATGTTTTAATTCCTTTTTGGAGGGGTCAGGAGAGGGGGGACCTGCCTCACCTCTGGGAGAATAATATGCCACAGGGCAAGGGCAACAGAAGAGAAGGTTCTCTTCCTAGACTCCACCAGTCAGAGTTCTTTAATTGACAAGATCTGCTTCATACTTTCCCTGCCTGACCGGGTGAGATGATTGATAAAAACTTCTAGTGTTGGAACATTCACAGCTTCTGGAGGCAGGTTGTTCCACTGATTAATTGTTCTAAATTTTCTGACAGATAGAACAATTAATCAGTGGAACAACCTGCCTCCAGAAGCTATGAATGCTCCAACACTGGAAGTTTTTAAGAAGAGACTGGACAACCAGTTGTCTGAAATGGTATAGGGTTTCCTGCCTGAGCAGGCGGTTGGACTACATGATCTCCAATGTCCCTTCCAACTTTTTTTATTTATTTATTTTTATTTATTTATTTGTTGTTGTTATTATATAATGGGGCAAAGATGGTTCCACAGGTAACCTGGCCCATGCCATGTAGGATTTTATAAGTCACAACCAATACCTTTCATTGGATCCAGAAGCAAACTGTCACCTAGTACAGTCTGCTCCTTAGGCATCTCCACAGGACTTTCATCATGCTTGGTATCCAACTGGGAATGAATCCAAGCAATTTGATCCTCTGGATGCACAGAAAATTCCTCTGCACAGCCCTGTAGATGGGCCTTTCCCTTCCTGGGAAGACTCTGGATAACCCTAAATGGGGCCACTGGGAGACACTCTGGATTCATTAAGAGCAGAGAAGTGTTGGGGCAGCAGCTTGGAAGAGAGTACTGTAACAAATAAGGCTGTTTCCCATTTAAAAATAATAAAATAGGCGGAGGGGTTGGGACTAAGCGATACAACTGAAATCTACCAAACGCACTTGATAACTGTCAGAGGTGCCAACTCTCGTATCCTGTTTATTACAATTTGGCTTAGTTTGGGCACCACCCGTTGATAGTGTGAGAAACCCCTTAGCATTTTCACACTCAGTCCAGTTTAAGAATAAGATCTTTGTTTTCTTTCCTTATAGCTCTCAAAATGGATATTTTTGGAGACTTGCGGCGAATGAACAAGCGCCAGGTAAAAGAGGAGTACAGTTTGTTTTGCTGGGTCTGCTTGTGAGCAAGGACTTGAGCTTGTGTGTATCAAAAATTTTTGTATGCACCGTCTGAATTGATTTAATGAAATTGATGTCTTATCCAGGTGGCCCCTGCTTAATGACCATTCATTTCAGCAACTCTTTGGAGTCAGGATGGTGCTGAGCCAATGGCATTTATACCCAGTCCTCAGAGTTACAGCTGTTGGAATGCCCCTGTGGTCACATGATCAGAATGCAGGCACTTGGTAGCCCATCTACATTTACGATCGCAGGGTACCCTTTAACAGGCCTCACCCACATATCTCCCCTCATCTCTTCACTTTAAACCAGGGGTGGGGAACTATGGCCCTTTTATGACTTGTGGACTTCAATGCTTGTGCTCTGACACCTGGATGACCTTTGCCATCTTCTTGCTTCCCGCCATCTTCTTGCTTCCACTCTTGATGAGACACATCAGCCTGGCCCTTCAGGAAGCAGAAGCAGGGAAGAAGGAGCGAAAGCCTTTGTGTGGCCAGCAGCTGCCTCTCGAAGAGCCCAGCTGGGCAGGTCTCAGCAGCAGCAAGAGCAAGAAAAGGGTGAAGATCAGCTGGGGAGGGCAGCTGCAGCCGGGGCTTCGTGCTGCAACATTGGGCTTTATGGTGCTAAGCTGGACTGGATTGGGCCAACTGCAGCTTCATGAAGTGCCAGGCTGGGTGTTCTCATCAGCAATGGGAAGAAGAAGGTGAAGGTCAGTTGGGGATGATGGCCAGCAGAACATAGGATAGCTTGCACACCTTCCTGTCTCTGGCAACAGCCACTCCCAGTCTGACTACACTTGCGCCAAGCCATTACAGCCACTGATCCAGCCACAGGCCTGCTTGTGAGCCACCCATGACTTGCAACTTCCTGCCACCTTCCTCATTGACTCTTGCCCATTGGAAGCCATCAGAAAGTTTCAAGGAAATCCTCACAATGATCCGTGATACCAGTCATTAGCAGTAACAGGGTCTACTGGGATTTCCATCACTAAGCACTGAGGTCATGTGACATGCTTCACAACCGCACCACTTAGTGACAGAGGATCCCGTCTCAATTATCATTGTTAACCCAGGACTACCTATGCCAGTGGTGGCGAACCTATGGCACCCATGCCAGAGGCGGCACTCAGAGTCCTCTCTGGGCACACAGGCCATGCCCTGAAGATGGCAACCGTCCCTCTTCAACCAGCTGCCCACTAACTCGCCAAGGTCCCACATGGCCATATGCATCCCAGCACCCATGCGCTCACTGGCCTCTGTATGCAGAGGTCAATGGTGTTAGGCAGCAGCCGCCCCTGTCCCTGCCACACCTTGCCCTGTGACAATGGTATCTCCATCCTGCCTCGCCTCACCCCGCAGGACAAGCCTCCTGCCCACCGTCCCACCTGGCAGACCCCCCCTAGATTTCTCCCAACCCTGCCTGGCCCCCACAGGCGTCCCTCCCCATGAGCAAATCGAGGTGATCACGCCCACCTTGGCCACTCCCACCCAATCTGCCATGACCAGTGGGCCACGCTTACCTGGCACCCAGCGATAAATAAGTGGGTTTTGGGTTGCAGTTTGGGCACTCGGTCTCTGAAAGGTTCGCCATCACTGACCTATGCTGCTTTAAAACATATATACTGTACCTTGAAATCAGCAGTCTTGGTCAGAAAGACTTCTGTATTTAAAAAAGAATTAAGAGCCATTATTTTTCAGTCAGAAGTACAAGTGTTGTAGATTTGGTTATTTTTAGTGCTGGGCAAAGCAAGGTAGTACAAGCAAAAAAACCCTCCTCGGAGCATTAAAACATCTGTGTTTTTGGGGGAAGATGCATTGTCATTGCAAGATATACTAGCAAGGTGTTTCCACGTGTTAGCAATTTTACCTGCTGAATCTTTTAGATATTGAACTTCCTTTGGCATATCATGTTGTGTCATTGTTTTCCCTTCAGGTGGAATGAGAGGCTGAAAGAAAGGTTGCCCTACATAAATCTTGATGTCTTGAAGCAGAAAACCTGTAAATTGAAAAAGATCAAATTTTGGATGCTTCTTGAATCTCATTTTTTTTTCCTCTCCATATTTAGAGTGTATGTCAGTATGGCACAGGTGCCAGAGGCAGCACTCAGCGCCCTCTCTGGGCACGTGCGCCATCGCCCCAGTCCTAGGCCTTCAGCTGGGTTTTATAAAACCTTTTCACTTTAGGCTTCCGCTGCCATGTGCAAAAAAAAAAGGTTCAATCAGTCAATTTCAACTTCTCGCGGGAGAAAAAAGATCTTGCAAAGTTGGAATTGATTGACTGAATTTTTTAGTCCCACCCAGTCGGCCATTATCACCGCAGCCACACCCACCCAATGGGCCACGCCCACCCAATGGGCCACACCTGCCCGGCACTCGACGATGCATAAGTGGGTTTTGGGTTGCAGTTTGGGCACTCAGTCTCTAAAAGGTTTGCCATCACTGGTCTATGCCCTGTGTTATTTGCCTTTTTATTTTTTAAAAAACACTGATTCACAGGATTGAAGCCAAAGGTGAGATGTTAGAAGAAACATTATGACGTAAGGACATGCATCACAGTGTTGCGTCTGCTATCTTACCTGTTTTGACCCCCTCTGCAGATGCTGATACCTTGTGCCAAAGCTGAGGGAAAATGCTGGCCCCATCCACTTTCATCATTATCCTTCCACCTGACATCACTAAAAGATTGATTGACCTTATGTTAGATCAAAGTAGGCAGGCTGCGGACCTCATGCTTCCCCCCCCCCCCCCGCACATGCATTCAGCTGCCTGAATATCTTGAAATCAGCACTGATTTGGGCAACACAGATTTCCACTTAAGGTTAATAATAGATGGATTGGATTGGATTGGAAGTGCAATAGCAGGGTATAAAGTGTGGAGTCCTTGGTTCTCTCTGAGTTTGGTTGTTTGCTTGTAACATTGTGGGAAATTAGTGAGTGTAGGGTTTGCTCTTTGTTTATATGCAGTAGCTTGTCCTACCGGTGTTGGTGGGGATGTGGTTTTCTCCTTAATTAGATACTGTTTTCTGTTTGATTATTTGTTTCTTTGAAAGCTTTTTGATTAGGGCAGTTGTTTTCTTTCTTTTTGTCTGGTATTAATCTCTGCTTATCTGGATGTTGGCTGCTGGAGAGGATGTGTTCTGTTCTTTTTGTTTCCTTCTTAACTTTTTTATTGTCTCTTTTGAATGATGTGTAAATATGGTTTAACTTATGTGTCTATTGATGGCTGATTTGTCCGAGTGACAAGCTTCCATGAATTCCCTAGTGTTTTTGGATTTAGCTTAGTCTAGGATGTTCACAGTTCCCCAGCTGAAACTATGGTTTAATCTGTCCATGTGTTGTGAAATTTTCATTGTGTCTTCTGACTGCTAATTGGTGTTCATGGATGAGCTCTGCTAGTCTTCTGTTTGTCCTACATAGTGGCTGTTGAGTCCTGTTCTTTATCTTTTTGGTCTATCGAGTCTCTTGGTTTACTTAAGATGTTTTTGGGGGGCTTTAACTGGTTTGTGTGCTATGGTGATGGTTGTGGTAGTACTAGACATCTGCAAGCAAATCACCAAGTTCAAAGCGCACTAAGGACTCCAAACCTGAACTACATGCATTATTTCTATTGGTAATAAGTAGTGTGAATAAAGCAGTTTGCTATAGTACTTCTAACCCTGCAAAGGTCTCTGTCACTCCAGGAACTGTGAGGGTTTTTTTTATTTTCAGAGCCAGTTTTGGTGAGGATCATGAATCTGTTTATGAGCGGGTGCAAATATGTGGCATGAGCTGGTGCTAAGTAGCCTTTTAACAAGTTCTGTTTTTAGGCTTCTACTGAGCTAGTACTGGGAGGCAAATAAATCTGTTTCCCTTGTTAGCAGTTTATTTGTTTTTTAAATAAATGGAAAACTGGGCCACCTCTTGGCATGGAACTTTGCACCATTACCCCATGCAGACAAGAAAAGCTTAATGTTGTTTTCCCCCCATGTGCTGATCTACTTTATGGCTCTTCAGCTGCTGTGCTGTTCTTCTTGTTGATCAGTTTTTGATTGCCCTACTTCACACACATATCTGCCATACTGCTGCCTTCATTATAAAAATGCAGCACCCTGGGAAGATTGACTATTCTAAAGAAAGAAACCAGTGTTTATTGAATATAAAGATTATAAAACATTTATCTATCTATTTATGTCCCTGTTCTGCCTAAAACAGTTTGTCACTCAACCCCTTGCTCTTTGTTCTGTTGAGGCAGTCAGGTGTAACTGCTTAAAATATGTTAAAGATGCTGAGCTTACCAGCTGGAACGCTGACAGCCCAGGTTCAAGACCCGAGCACCACGTGATGGGGTGAGCTCCCGTTACTTGCCCCAGCTCCTGCCCACCTAGCAGTTTGACAGCATCCAAATGTGAATAGATAAATAGGTACCACTTTGGTGAGATACCGCTGTGCACTTTGGCATACAGTGATGCTGGCCGCATGAAAGTGTCTTCAGACAATCCAGGCTCCCTTGGCTAAGAAACAGAGATGAGCATCACCCCCTAGAGTTGGACATGACTGGACAGGGGAAACCTTTATCTTTATCTATGGACAATGCAACTTTTTTCTGATCAGTCTAATTATAGTAAATGCAAATACATGGTCTTTTGACTTACAGAGCCACTAAAAACCTGAAAGGGCAATACACCAAATAAGACAGTTTCCTGTTCTCAAAACTCCTTTGCATCTACTGGATCTACTTTTCATATCCAAGTTAATGTTCTTTAATATTTTAGTTGAAGTTCCTTTATTTGAAATTATTAAGGTCTGTGTTGGTGTTGTATGTGTGAAAATTAAATTTGTGTTTAATATTTAAATTTGGAGATACTCAGCGGTGCATCCTGTAAAATCAAAAAATGAGTGCAGTGCCTCTTGAAATAATAACAGCAACAACGGTGATTATACGATCAAAGACCATATATGAAATATGTTCTTTTCATTTTGCTCTTCCTTTTATTATAGCTCTATTACCAAGTTTTAAATTTTGCCATGATCGTGTCTTCAGCCCTAATGATATGGAAAGGCCTTATTGTTATCACCGGGAGTGAGAGTCCAATTGTAGTAGTGCTCAGGTATGTCTTTTTGTGAAGAATTTGTTTGCTGGGGTAGTCTGCAGCCCATAATTTTTGTCTCATTCCTGTACCAAATTGGGAATAGGAAAAGTGCTTTTCAGTGGGAGGTTATGATTTTTATAACCATTATTTTTTCAATACGTTCCCTAGTAAATTCCATCTATAATAAGCTGTGTTATGAAATTTGACTAGGTCATAGTAAGCTAGCTGTTCCTTTTTGATCTTCCTACAAAAAGCACTTAGTGTTGTATAAGTAGCCTTATTAGTCAGCAACACATGTGTGTTCTTTCATACACAATGGTGGCAGACTGAAAAACCATGGGTAATTCTTGATTAAAGGTTCCTACGCCCTCATCTACACATGTTAAAAATAAGTACTGTTGGGCTGTTGGTGCTTTCTGAACTTAGTTGCTTTCCTGCAGAGATTTCGTTACAAACTTAGGTAACATCATCATTGATGTTGGTTGAAAATGATCAAACTGAGAGAACACTCAAGAATTCAACATTTTAAGCCTGTTCTATATATATTTCCTACCACCGAAATAAGCATTTATTGAACTTTTTCAATAATGTACAATGACATTGGGCTTCTATAGATAAAGATTTACAGAGTTTCTTGCATCATTGGGATAATTTGATTAATTTAAATCTATTGTGGGTAAACATTTGAAACATTTTCGGTCTTGTAACACAAACCCGTGTCAAATATCCTATGCTTATTTATTCTTTGGTAATCATTGTGTTAATTTTAAATATTCTTTTCTCCTTTTCTAGTGGTAGTATGGAACCAGCCTTCCATAGAGGAGACCTCTTGTTCTTGACAAATTTCCGAGATGACCCCATCAGGGCCGGAGAAATAGTCGTTTTCAAAGTCGAAGGAAGAGATATTCCAATTGTGCACAGAGTGATTAAAGTTCACGAAAAGTAATGGTGGCCACACAAAGTATAGTCAATAAAATAATTCAGGGCAGGCCTATGTTGGGTGGCTAAGGCTTTTCAGAGCTGGCTTCCAAGTAGTGGGTAATCCACAAGATGTCAAGGTCTTCATCGAACTCGATGGACGAACAACCTAACCTAAGTGTTAAGATAAGGAAATGAGCAGAATCGGGACAAAAATGATGTATTTATTTATTAAATTTATTGGCCGCCCATCTTACCACAGGATAACTCTGGCCAACTTACAATATTAAAAAATAAAACTATATAAATAAAATACTACAAAAATATAAAAAAATACAATGGCTAAAAGATGGGAAGGGAGGGAGTAACTTATTTAGCAACTTAACCTTTTTTCGTTTATAGTGAGTGCTTGTTTTCCAGATAACCTCTTTCTGGAGCAAGCATGTAAAACACGCAGCAGGTGGCCCGCACATGGCTTGCACAGGCCACGCCCACCCCAGCAAAACAAATCATGATATGTCACGATATGGTCCACGATGCGATTGGATTTGTTCTAAAGAAAATACATATGAGGAATCTGTGACTAAACAGATAGTCATTGACTTAACAACTGTAATTATGCCCCAGAACTATTGTTGCAGATTGTAGTCATTAAGCAGGTCATCACATGACCACACTTGATTTTACTACAGTATCTTGTTTCCGGCAGTTGTTAAGTGAACCTGGCAGTTGTTAAATGAATCAATTTTCCTCAATGGGTGGAAACCAGAAGTTAAAGACTGGAAATCAGGAAAAAAAAAAATACCAGAAAATCTTGGCCACATGAGTGGGATGCTGCAAATGTAAATTGAATTAGTTGTCAAGAGCCCAAAATGTGATCAAGTGAACATTGGAGGGTTGTTGGAACTTTGAAAATAGAGCAGCTCTGGGGAAGTCCATTGTAACTTTAAACAGTCACTAAGCAACCAGTCATTAAACAAGGACTGCCTCTGGTAGATAATGCACTGGGGAGAGCCAAATACTTGTTTAGCTCTGTTAGCAGGAGTCCTAAAACACCTGGACATTTATTAAAATACAGAAAGGACAATATGTATGTGTTGCTATCTTATCACCTGCTTTGTAAGCAGTTTCAAAAATGGTTATCAACGAGGTGCTGATCCATTCTGTCCTCTTGCTTGCAGAGAAAATGGCAACATCAAATTTTTGACGAAGGGCGATAATAATGAAGTTGATGACAGAGGTTTGTACAAAGAAGGACAAAACTGGCTAGAAAAGAAAGATGTCGTAGGCAGAGCCCGAGGGTAAGTTAAATTAATTATGCAAGCAGTCTCTTTTGTGAACTCTGGTATATCAGTGACTTACGCAGATGGAATTCTCCCTTTGTCTTTCCCCCCCGCTAGCATTGTGGTTTGATTTGGAAAATACATTTATTTCAGGATGGATCACCAGAAGCTTTGGGGCCACATACAATCCTCAAAATTATTTTTAAGAGCTCTGGGAAACCCTTTTGACAATGGGGATTGTCTGAAAATTGGGAGCATTTTTTAGGTGGAAATACATGTCATCCTAAATTTGGTTTAAATTATTATTTTGATGTCTACAGCAGATAACAGTACTTCTAGGTGCAAAACTTGTAGGAAACCCAGAACCTGAACTCTAGATTGGGAAGTTAAAAAAAAAATTCAGAAAGAGTGAAATAGCCTCCATACTATTTCCAAGAAAAATATTTGGATATGTCCATGAGTTCCCAGAAGTCATGTCTAGCTTGAGGGAGAATCGCAGCAGGTAGCAACCCCTTCCAGATCGTGGTAGACCTTCAAAAAGTTAATCTGGTTCAAATCTGTTTGGTACTTGTCTGGAAGACAACCCCAGAAGTATCTGGTGTAACAAAATGGTGAATTAAGATGGGCCTTGGCTTGATTCAACAGGGATAATATATAGTTCCTGACTTACAACTGTAATGGAGCCTGTGTCATGGTTCCAATAGATGAAACCAGTCAAAAGAACTTCAAGGCAAGAAATTCTTCCTTAAAGAACATTTTATTAGGAAACAAAGTGTCGGCACTTACATAGTTGAACCCAAGACTAAAGTTTGCTCCCCCCCAGATACAAAGTAACAAGTTGCAATTCCCACCCCACAAAAGCTGTCATAAATCACATTCCCCAATTAGCGCAAAATGTGGGCTTTCTCTCCGACTCCTCAGCCCGCCAAAATCTTATCAGACGTTGTCCTTGAGTTCCTACGCTACTGCATTGTTAATGGCTTACTAAACCCTCAAGCATTCACCCCATCCCCGTTTCTACATCTGAACTCTAAACAGCAGAAAAGGCACGTTAAAAGCAAAAAGAAAATGGCTGTTGATTTTCAGTTGTCAGAGCGTTGACATCCATTGTCACAGCGTTGACAGCCTGCCCTTTACAGTTGTAAGTTGTGCTGGTCGTAAAGTGGGTCATCACATGAATAACCCGATTTTACAGTCTTTTGTATTATCATCATATTGTACCTTATATTTAATATTAGCAACATTGATACTATTCATATGAAGAGACAGGGTGTAAATTCAGTTATTAATATATTAAATCAATAACGCCTGACATTTACTATTCACCAATGTTGAGTTAATGACTATATTGATTAATAAACCAACTCTCTTTAACTTCTGTCAATTAGGTTTTTGCCGTATGTTGGAATGGTGACCATAATCATGAATGATTATCCAAAATTTAAGGTGGGTACAGATTTCGCTGAGAATCTATAAAATGATCTTTAGATTTAGAATGAACAATATTGCTTATACAAGAGGAGAAAAATACTATCTAATAAGTTTTATCCTGTTGCTTGACATTTACCATTCACATAGTTTTCTCTTTAGGGCAGGAAATTATGGGAGTCATGTTTTCAACCCATCTGGAGGGACCAGAAGGAATGTTGGGGGTCAGGCTGTATATCAATTTAATAATTCAATAGATTTGAGAAGAAGGTAGCCAGTTTTGCACAGTTTTGTCAGCAATTTGAAACTAATTTATTGAAGGATGCGTGAGAGATGTTTTGTGGCTCACTGAGAGTGTGAGAGATGTGGATTGGAGAGGATGCACAAGAGATGCTGAGTAGGTCGTAAGGGTCTGGGAGAGTGCACCAATATGCAAAGAGGAACATGAGAGGCACTGCACGGATTGGGAGAAATATGTGTGACGCATATGTTGGGGAGGTGGATGGGAGGTGGGGGTCGGGGAAGGTGCAAGGAGGTACACATAAGCACTATGTAAGTCAGAGTGGTGAGTGAGGTGCTGCGTGGGTCGGAGAGGGTGTGATGGGGTGCATAAAAAGCACAGGTCAGGATGCATGAGAGATGGAGTCAGGGAGGGTGCAAGGGAGATGTGTCATGGCTGGACAAGGGTGCGAGAAGGTTCACAAGAGGTGCCAAGCAGGTCAGAGAGGGTGTGCAAAAGGCACAGATTGGGGAAAGTACAAAAGGATGCATAAGTGGCAGCATGCGGGTCAGGAACATTATGCAAGGATACAGTGTGAGTCAGGGTGTGTATGGATGCATGAGTGACTAGGCATGGCAAGAGCATAAGGAGGTAGGACTAGGTGGGAGAGACTTATCCCAGTGATTTGCTATCTTTGTTGGCTTCCCCATTGACTTTCTGGAGATGCCAGCAGGAAAAGTGGCAAGTAGCGTTCCTTAAAAACATATTTAGTTTATGAATTGTGCTATGGCACGTGGTGCCCACATTCAGTAATATGCCATGTGTTTATTTTTTCACAGTATGCTCTCTTAGCTGTCATGGGAGCATATGTACTTCTGAAACGGGAATCATAAAAGAAACTGGAATTGCCTTGGACAACTTATCAGCATAGTTATATGAAGAGATACTAATATATTTGAAACATCCCCTTGTCTGCAGATAATATGTGACATGTGCAAACCATATTGTATTTGTTTTGTTCCTCTTCATGTTGCAGTCTTAACTGTGGATAGCCCAATTGCCTTCATTGAGTCACACTGATATTTTTTTTTATTATGTCCATCTTCCCCAACCTGGTTCAGCTCTCCAAATTCTCAGTCAAAAAAGTCTTTTGGACATCTTGGGTGGAGATTACATAAATTGTGGTCTAAAACCAAGTTAGGGAAGGCAACATTCTCTTAGTTGTTTTGTTATCAAATAATTGTTTTAATTTCTACATGTTCACACAATTGATACCAAAATAGTGGTAAAATTTCTGAGAGGGAAGTGGTAGGAGCCTCATAGAATATGTGTTCACCTTTTCTCACCAGTGACAAAAATGGATCTGCTTATTTTGAAAATATTTGCAATTTGTCCCACCTTCAGATTATTCCCATCTCCCACCCAGGCAGCAGTTCAGTTACTGATGATTTGTTGAGCAATAGACCCTTCTTCTGAATGATTTTACAAAGACAGACAAATGCTCCTAACAAAGAATTGAAAACTACAGTTTTGATTAAGCTTGTGAGAAGACCCTTTCTACAAGAGTGGTAATTCTTCAAGTTGCATTGCTTCCTCCAAACCAGCTTGAAAATCAAGATCCACGATGATATTATCTGAGTTAGTGCCTTCCACTTATATAGATAGTCCTTGCTTAACAGCACTAATTGGGACTGGCAACTATGCCAGTGACACAGTTGCAAAGCATGACATTACATGACCGCGCCAACTTAACCATGGCAGTTTGTGCAGTTGGAGTTGTTCAGCAAATCTCACGCTGTCATTAAGCATGACATCACATGATTGCCATTTTCAACTTCCTACTGGCTTCCCCATAGACTTCGCTAGTCAGAAACCAGCCATGAAGATTGCAAATGGCAATCAAGTGGCCGTGGGATGCTGATTGAAAAATGTAAGGTAGTTTTCAACTTACAACCACAATTGAGCCCAAAATACCTGTTGCTAACTAAGCAAGATAGTTTTTAAGTGAGCTTTGCCCTATTTTATGACCTTTCTTACCATAGTTGTTGCTGCAATAGTTCTAAGTGTGAAAAACAGTCACAAGTCACTTTCTCCTAGTTCTGTTGTAACTTTGAAAGTCACTAAACCAATGGTTGTAAGTCGAAAACTAACGCTATGCTCCTGCTAAGTTCCCTTAATCATCAGTCAGTCCCAAGTGTTATATTGATTTGGATTTGCAACCTAAGAAAGCTATAGAAGAGTGTTTCTCAATTTCAGCAACATTAGGATGTGTTCGCTCGCTTGAATTCTGGAAGTTGAAATCCCCACATCCTAAAATTGCCGAGGGTGATAAACACTGCTATAAAAAATGAGGGTTTTAAAAAGAAGTGATATCCTCTTCAGCTTTTTAAATTTAATATTTATAGAGGCGTTTCCTTATTCAATAAAATATTAGAAAGCACATGAGGCCTACACAACTGATCTATTGTATCAGGATTGCAGTCAGTAAAGTGACAGTTAATAGAACAATAATTTAATATAATGTGAGAACTTGGTAATCAGTAACTGTTTGATGATGCCGCTTGGATGTATGTATGAAGGTCCATCAGCTCAAAGTAGCTTTATTATAATGAAGTATGATCCTGTGCTTGGATGCTTTGCCTGAAATTGCTGCTTCCCTATGCATTGAAAAAAGGAGAAAAAACTTTCCTTGTTATAGGAGTTAGACAACCTTGAAATAAGAATAGGACTACTGAAAGGAAAGGAATGTGAATGATACAAGATAGTGGATCCAGACCAGCCCCCCAAAATCAGGAAGGCTAAAACTATAATAACAACAGAATCTTGTAAGTCTATGTATGTTATACCTTTTCCTCCTATTTAGTTTTAGAAAGTAAAATTCAGAATACAGAATTAGAAAGTTTTCTGTCTGAGCCTCTTCTGAATGTTATCTGCCTGTTGTGGATTTAAAATTTGTTTTACTGTTCATTGTCCTGGCAATATGGAATTTGCATGTGTCCATCAAAGTCATCTTTATTCTCTACAGTACTTTTGGGTTCTTGTGTTATTCTTGCCGACATTTCATTAGTAGGCTGGGTGCATGTGAGAATGCCCCCTGCCTTTCTCATTAGTGGCCAGGTGCACCAGGGATATATCCTCCCCTAGTATTGAAATGTCCACAAGAACACCACGAAGTTCAGCTCACCAAGAAACTAACAGCTGAATCTGGAGCTATGTATAAGCTCTAATAGTGGAACAAGGAAATGGAGAAAAGTTTGACCTAAAACCTTTTATTATATCTGTGCTGTTGGTATAAGCCTTTGTAATTCCTATAGCTCCACTCAGATGGGGCTGGGAAATAGAATTTGTAGTGTAAAATCTCTACCCAAGATCACATTCTATTTTAACTTGCTCTTCCAACTTTATTTTTAGCCTTTTAAATTCTTTTTGTGGCCTTAGGGAAATCACTTTAAAAATGTGAATAATATGGATATTTTGTTTAACTTCTGTCTTGCAATTTCACGGTAATAAATGTGTCAGTTCTTTCTCTGTTTTTTTAAAGTAAATTGCTGTAAAGGCTTGCCAGGTTTCTATGAAAAGACCCACAGAGAGTAAAAGGAAAAACAAGCTGTCAGTTGAGCTATATTAATAAATTGATGCCCACCGATCGATCTCTCTTTGTTTTATCATGCTATGCAATAATATTAAAACATTGTTGTCTTGGTTTTATAACTTAACTGGATTCTATTTCTTTTCTGTTGTATGTATTTCTGTAGTTAATGTTAAGGATTTTTTCAAAAAAGCAACTTGGGAAAAACAGTTGTTTTCTTACATGGGAACGTTGCCATTAACAATTGGGCCTTTTGTTATTGGTGTAGTCTTCTTATGAAAGGTAGTGATTTTATTATATTTTAGATCAATAATATCATTCAGTTAATGCAAGTAATCATTCAATTAGTGTAAGTAAGAATACAAATAATCCAAATAACATTGATAAAGGACAAAATGTATTTTATATAAGTGTTAAGTATTTTATAGGCCTAAAAGTTTGAACAGTACTAAAAAAGAGACTAAAAAAGAAGGGAAAACAATAAACAATAAAATGAGAAAAAATGAAAAAAAATCATGAACCGTTTGTGTACTTTTGACACTAAAATAATGTTTTATACAAATAGTTACAAAGCAGTTGTAAACAATGAGTAAAATCTGGACTACACATTGTCTCCCCTAATCCTTCTTTTCACTAAACTAGACCTGTCCAATTCCTGCAACTGTTCTTCATATGTTTTAGTCTGCAGTCCCCTAATTATCTTTATTGCTCTTCTCTGCTGTCTTTCTTACGAAGTTTTGTATCCTGCAAGGGAATACATTTGTCTATTATCTGTATGTGAGGAAATGTGAGGAAATTGTTGTGGGTGATTGCTGACTGGAACATACATTTTATGCTTAATCAAGCTCTACTATCAGTTATAGGCAGGTTGTTTTAACTCCTCCATGTTAAAAATCAGGAGGACCTGTAGCCTTTTTCTGATAAACATATTTTATTAAGAGGCAGATGAATGCAGTATCCTCTCATTTCAAGCAATCTTTGAGGTATCATGTTCCTGTTTAGAAGAACTGATAGTATCACAGTTTGTTCAGCTGAAAAGAAGCTAGGGGAACACAAAACCAATAAACGCATATGCATCTGACTCACTTTCCCCACTGCTTCTCATCTGATATTTACTATCAGTTAGACTGATTAAATTGCTTGCTGAAAGGACCTGCCATTTCTCTACATGCCATAATTTCCAATATTCCACAGAAAGGTCCCACGGGCATTAGACTCCAGGCTGAATAATAGACTCAATGTCCTTTTTACATTTTCAGTACAATGGGCAATCATTTCCTCATATACTGGTGTCATTTATGGGCTCATTACAGACAGCGTTGTCTTCCCATCTATTTCCAATTTTGCTCATTTGGCGAAAGAATTTTAGAGGGAAATCTTGATTAGTCAATGAAGAGTTATTGCTGTTATGGGATAGAAGTCCCGTCAGTTTAGTCTTCCCCAATCTGATGCTTTCCAGAACTCCTAGAAGTCTTAATTAATGTGGCCATTGCCTGGAAAAATCTGAATTGTAGCTCAGTGGATGAAGAGGTTGTAATAGTTGATGCACCCCGTTACCATGTTACTGAAATTAGACAAATTGTTCCAGGAAAAAGCCTTAAGGAAGGCTGAAGGCAATATCCTTTTATCATTATTTGGTCTCCAAGTACAGGTAGTCCTCAGCTTACCACCATTCATTTAGTGAACATTTAAGATTACAACAGCACTGAAAAAAGTGACTTATGAACAATCCTCACATTTACGAGTGTTGCAGCATTCGCACAGTCACGTGACCAAAATTTGGGCACTTGGCAAACTGGCATGTATTTATGACAGTTGCAGGACTTGGGCTCCACCAGGGACCTCCTCGGCCTGGTTTCTGATAAGCAAAGTTAATGGGGGAAGAAGGATTCACTTACTAACTGTGTGGTTCACTTAACAGCTGCTGCGATTCATTTAACAACCCTGCCGAAAAAGGTCATCAAATCAAGTGCAACTCGTTTAACTTGCCTTGCTTAGCAATGGAAATTCTGGTCCCAATTCTGGTTGCAAGTTGAGGACTACCGGTATACATGTCCACACAGCTTAAAGTTGCCAAGGTTGAGAAATACTCTATAGCAGGGGTTCTCAACCTTGGGAACTTTAAGACTTGTGGACTTCAATTCCCAGAATTCCTCAGCCAGCAAAGCTGGTTAAGGAATTTTGGGAGTTGAAGTCCACAAGTCTTAAAGTTGCCACGGTTGAGAACCCCTGCTCTATAGCATGTCTGATTGGGAGGTTTCAATAAAGCTAACAAGCACTGAGAAGCTTATTCTTCACGAGACTGTTTAATTTCCCTTTAACGCTCCCAATCTAGCCGTTCGAAAGCATGCAAATGCAAGTAGATAAACAGGAACCATTTTGGTGGGAAGGTAACAGCGTTCTGTGCACCTTCTGCATAGAGTCATGCTGGGCGTATGACCACGAAAGCATCTTGGGACAATGCTGTGTCCCTCGGCTAGGATACACAGAGGAGCACCATCCCCTAGCATTGGACACAACTGGACAGAGGAAACTTTTACCATTTTTTTTAAGAGATCCACATAGCATCCCCACATTACATAACACACTTGCAAATTTAATTAGCAGCAAAGCCTTAATTTCATTCTGAATGTTCACCTTTGACTGTTCTTAACTCCATGCCACTCTCAACAAAGATATTAGATCCAGAAAGCTGGATTTTGCATCATTTTTCTGAAGTAGGTTAATTTGAGCCTGGCCATTTGTGCTTTGAGTGGGAACTCTGGGTTGATTTGTTCAATGATCCGTTGTTTTGTTTTCTTGGCTGTCCATGGTATTCTCAGGAGTCTTCTCCAGCACCAAAGTTCAAAGGCATCAATAGTCCTGCTTCTCCAAAGTCCAACCTTTGCTTTCATAGAGCGTCACAGGGAATACCATGGCTTCAGGATTCAGTCAAGATTCTTGGTCATCCAAGTAGAACTGCCTGGAAGTTGAGTCATGGTAACTGGGCTTCTTTTCTTTTTTTGGTTTGAAACATTTTACTGCTTATCCAGGTAGTTTCTTCAGTCTGATGTGATAATATTGGGCTTTGCAATCTCAGCATAATTATTTAGGAAAGGCTGTACTAAAACACCAGAAAGTGAGAGTGCAGTCCTTTGGGAATAAACTCCAGGAACTAAAGCAATACATGTAGTAAAAAAAAATTCTTAATATATTCATGGGAGCTATGTCTCCTGCATAAAAGTGGGAGATATATTAACCTCGGCTGACTGGTTCAGAGATTTGTCTTGCTGGCCAACTCTGTCCTCTCTCTTTTTCCCACCACATTCAATAGGCCAACTAGCTTTGGACAATGTCCCATTGGCTGGTGTGGGCTGCCCTGGAATCAACAATATATGATCATGGATCAAAAGCCTGGGCCTGAACGTTTTTGAGGGCCCTAATCTTTTTTTTTTTTTTTTGCAGCCCATGAGAGTCAAATGCAGCTTAAAATTGGAGGCAAGGGCTCCTGCCATTTTGAGGCAAGAAATGACTGTTGTGCAAACTGTAGTCTTAATATAAAACACCCCAAATATTAATTATTCAAATCTCTGCCTAAGACATCTAAAAAATATATCCCATCTGTGCCCAGTTTAGGTCCTGCCCTGCCATTGCTGTTTTTAATTTCCAAAAAAAAAACACCAAAACCCTACAGGTGAGACATACACTCATATATATATACACACATAAAGACCTCAGCACCATTCTGACTCAGAATGCTAGACAGAGAAATCCATGCCATTAATGACCATCCAACTGGAAGGAAATGACCACCATAAACTACATGTGCCTCTTTCAAATCAGGCACTAAACCCCAAACACAATTCTGTGGACTGGAATTATTTCTTCTTATCGATTTAAGTTTTTTCACTGTCTTCCCTGATACTGCGGGGTGATGAATGTATTTTCCACACAATCACCTTCTTGATGTTACCAGCCATTATTGTCACCACATTTTGTAGTCCAAAGATCAGGTCCACAAAACATGTCTAAAACTTCGTAATGAAGCACAGGTTGGACATTTCCACAGAAGGAATTCTGAGAGATTTTTGTCAAGCTGCAGGTGAAACCTACACAAAGCAAAATACATCTTCTTACTCCAAATAGAAAAAGAAAAGAAAAACTGTCTCAGAACTTCCATTTCATCCTAATCGGGGACAGACCACATTAGCAGATTCACCAGCTGGTAGCTCTTAAAAGGCCAGTGATAATTTTTTATATGAGATTTTGGAGCTAAAAAGAGATTTGAATAATTTCAGATGGTTGAAATGGAGCAAAACAGAAACACATTCCTTTCTCCTGTTCTTTTTTCCCATCTATGGGTGACAACAGCCCTCCAACATCATATTGCAAACTCTGCTCCTTTTGTATACGCATGTAACATTTGTGTGATATGTACAAAAGGGGATTAGTTTGTATTAAATGCTGCTTTCATCGTTGTATCCAAGAGGATTCTGCAGCAGGTAATCAAAACATTCAAGATAGTGGCCCTTCAAAATAGAATAGGAAACCAAAATCATGCAGGCTAATACTAATTTTATTATAGATTTATAAGAAAATCTAATTAATTAATTAATTATATTCAATTTCCATGGCCACCCATCACAACAAGTGACTCTGGTTGGCAAATTATCATAAAATACTGTAAAAACACATTTCCATCCTAATACAAACATTAAAATACACACCACAGCCCAGGAGAATGCTGCAATCCATGTTCCAAAGGTGCTTTTCCAAAAGACAAGTGGACTTTCTTAGAACTGAAGAAGGTTTTTGGGTGAGAAGCGCAATCTTTTCAAGGAAGCAAACTAAGAAAATCCAGTTGCCTTTTGGAAAAGCACCTTTGGGACAACCATGTCCTGGATGACTGAGAAGCTCCATAGACATTCAGCTACAATCCATGGTTGATAATACAAGAAGGACACAAGACCCTTCACATACTTGAACCTCAGGACCAGTTACAGAAGCAGGTCATTATGACATGCCACCACGATTTGGGTCATCCTGATCTCAGAGAGAGATTGCTCCACAGGTTGGATGCTATTAAAGAGCCCTGGTGGTGCAGTGATTAGAAAGCAGTATTATTGCAGGCAAACTCTGCCCACAGCC